TATATATATATATATATATATATATATATAAAATCTATAAATTTAAAGTTAAATTTAGCCAGCTAGGAAAGGCTAGTTCATTTGTTTTTTTCCTTTAGAGACATTTCTCATTGCGAGTAAGTGTCTGAGAGGTGGGACTTGTCTGAGCTCCCTGCTGACGGAGGCTCTTTTGATTCCAGACTTTGGGTCACTTGGAGAAAGCAGTGGTTCTTGAACTCACCTTGAAGCACGTGAAAGCACTAACAAACCTAATTGACCAGCAGCAGCAGAAACTCATGGCCCTGCAGAGCGGTTTACAAGCTGGTGAGTGCCTGCGTCTGGCTATCATCTCTGGGGAGCTCTAGCACAAACAGAGCCTGTGGGCTCAACATCTGCTGTAAGAAACAGTACTGCAAGGAAGTGCTTGTGCACGTTTGTTTGGGGGAGATGCCATTCTATCGTTCCTAAGAGGTCAGACTTTTTATTTGGAATGCTGCTGTGTGCCACCTGGCATGAATACAGATTAGTCAGATGATAAAATATTTCTGTGGCATTTTGGCTTAAGAGTTTCTGGGCTCTGGGAGTTTTTCCCCCTCCCTTTTAAAATGCCAACGCACCTATAATTTGCATCGTGGGTGTTTTACAGTGGGTCCTCTTAGCTCTCTTTCATTGGAGAATAAATCAGAGGTATGCCCCAGTGTTTTCCTGTTTCTGTACTTCCTTATCACTCGGTGTGTGGTATGATCCTGGCAGGATGACAGCAGGCGTTTTTCCTGCATTTCATGTGGTTCCCTGAATAGCCACTAGGTATCTTGGTGAATTGCACAATCTAACGAAACCACTGAAGTTTCATCATTCGTTTCTACTCACTTCCAGAGAATCACACTCACCTTCTAACCTCCTCGTCTCACTACTTCCAGATAATACTGTACAGACTGGGGAAATTTTCCTGCCCACTCCCTCATTCCATTCTTCTCCACCCTCCTTGCCAAGGCGAGTGGGATGAGAATCACAGATATCTAACACGTGCCTCTGCCAGGTCCCTCACTGAAAATAGAAAGATGATCGTACCTAATGTCTTGGGGGTCATGGATCGAATACGTGGAAAAGGCTTAGAAATAGACTCTCCATTTCAAGATGACTGCAAAGGGTAGAAGTCATTGAAAATAAGCTTACTTAAGGCAACATTGCTCCTTCATTTTTTTCTCATTTTATGACTAGTCTCCGTCCATCTTGCTACGGTGAGATTGATGTTCTGTAAATTGACCCTTTGGTTCATAAACATACGAGGATGTTCACTGCTGTGTCACTTATAGTGACAACTCAGGAACAACCTACAAATTCAACAAGAGGAAAAATTGTCTATTAATTATGGTCTATTTCTATGATGGGATATTATGCAGACATTACAGTCATTTTATCTCTGGATGGTAGGACTATGGAAGATTTTTCCTTAACCCTTATACTTCCAGTGTGATCTACATTTTCCCTGATTGTATTCCTTTTGGAGTTAGGAACACAAATGAGCCCATGTGTTAACAAGGGGAACCTCCGGTCTTTGTAGCACAGGTGTCCAGGTGAACCTCGGCGCCTGCTGAAATGTCCTCCTGTGTGTCTGTTGATTCAGGTGAGCTGTCGGGGCGAAACATCGAAGCAGGTCAAGAGATGTTCTGCTCAGGTTTCCAAACGTGTGCCCGGGAGGTGCTGCAGTACCTGGCCAAGCATGAGAATACTCGGGACCTGAAATCTTCGCAGCTCGTCACCCACCTGCACCGGGTGGTCTCGGAGCTGCTGCAGGGTGGCACCTCCAGGAAGCCGTCAGACCCAGCTCCCAAAGCGATGGACTTCAAGGAGAAGCCCAGTTCCCTAGCCAAAGGCTCCGAGGGCCCTGGGAAAAACTGTGTGCCGGTCATCCAGCGGACTTTCGCTCACTCGAGTGGGGAGCAGAGTGGCAGTGACACAGACACAGACAGCGGCTACGGAGGAGAATCGGAGAAGGGCGACTTGCGCAGTGAGCAGGGGTACTTCAAAAGTGACCATGGACGCAGGTTCACCATGGGAGAAAGGGTCGGTGGTATTAAGCAAGAATCCGAAGAACCCCCCACAAAAAAGAGCAGAATGCAGCTCTCCGATGATGAAGGCCACTTCCCTAGCAGTGACCTGATCAGCCCCCCTTTCCTGGCCCCGCACCCGCACCAGCCTCCCTTCTGCCTGCCCTTCTATCTGATCCCACCGTCAGCAACTGCCTACCTGCCCATGCTGGAGAAGTGCTGGTACCCCACCTCCGTCCCTGTGTTATACCCGGGCCTCAATGCCTCCACTGCAGCTCTCACCAGCTTCATGAACCCAGACAAGATCTCGGCCCCTTTGCTCATGCCTCAGAGACTCCCTTCTCCCTTGCCAGCCCACCCGGCCATCGACTCCTCTGCCCTGCTCCAAGCTCTGAAGCAGATCCCCCCTTTAAACTTAGAAACCAAAGACTAAACTCTTTAGAGGGGGGGATCCAGCAGCTTTGCTTTCCATCCTGCCTACTTCCCCCCCCACCCCACCCCCCCAAAAAAAATGTTTGTGAGTGCAGCGAGATTGTTCCAGTGTGTGTGCCAAGACAGTCTGAGGCATGAGGAGAAGAGCTGGGGTGTGTGTGCGTGTGCATCGTGTGTTGGTTTAGGACATAAAAGCTCCTTTTGGCCTAGGGAAGACACGAAGGATTGCCTTCCATCAGGAGATTTAGGGGGATTGTGGCAGACCTCGGGGCTTTTCCCCACCCAGAGAAGAGCCCCCTCTGATACAAATCAGTTGGATTTCCAAAAGCTTCAGAGCCTGGGTCTGTGAGTCAGTCTTCACTTTGGGAGCTGGGTCTGTGGCTTTGAGAAAAAGGTACTTTCAAAAGAGGGCTTTCCAGAGTGCCGTTCCCAGCCAGCTCTTCTGACCCCACCCTTCTCCCTTTTATTGTCGCTGTGACTCACCATACAGGGAGAGGGCAGCCAGACTGAGCTTTCTGCAAAGTGGTGAGGTAGCAGACACTGGCATAGCATGGCAGTGGTTTGGGGAGATTTCCGCAGGTCTGCTCCCCACCCCTGCCTTGATGAATAAAGAGAATGTAGTCCCCTCCTCAGGCTTTTTCATAGTGATTAGCTCAGTAAGGAACTGAAAGGGCCCCCTGGTATAGGCAGAGCTGCCAGGGGACGAGGGACAAGTCCCCCCAGGCCTCTGGCACCTGTTTCTAGAAACAGTCTTGCTGTCCAGGGAACCAAACCAAGGTGTGAGAGGTGCAGACGCCTAAGTTCCGAGCGCCCAACAGTGCAAACAGCTGAGCAACAAAATTGCTACCTTCAATAAGCAGAGCTAGACTCGGGTTTCAGTTCTACCCTAAACCTCCTTTTAACCAAGCTTAGCTTCTTCAAGGCCATAGTCGATCCTTTCTGCAGGCTGATTCCCCTCGACCGACAGCATATGGAGAGTACTTCCTGCTGAGAAGGATTCTGTCTCCTTCAGACACATTTTCTTTTTGGTCCAGAGTACTTGCTTTCTGACTTGTCCAGCTAGCTCTGCACCAGCTTTTCAAAGCGCACTATGCCTGATCGCCCGTCGTGTTCTAACTCTTTCTTTTCCTGTTTTTATTTTGGTATAAAGTCGTTGCCTTTATTTGTAAAACTGTTATATATTATATAAATATATTACAAAGGAAAGTGTTTCAGATGTTTATTTGTATAATTACTTGATCTACAAAGTGAGAAAAATGAATGTATTCCTGTTTTTGAAGAGAAGAATAATTTTTTTTTTCTCTAGGGAGAGGTACAGTGTTTATATTTTGGAGCCTTCCTGAAGGTGTGAAATTGTAAATATTTTTATCTATGAGTCAATGTTAAGTAGTTGTTTTAAAGTACTTAATAAAATAATCCTTTTCCTGTGGAAGAGAAAGATGGCCTCCTGCACTTTTTACAATAACTCGACCCTGAGATGCTCCTGTCTCCAGCCCTCCCCTCTTGTCTGAGGGCAACAACTAGTTAATCTTGGTGTCATTTCATTCCGCTTCTCCTGTGCCTTGGATGGTGCAAATAAGCTTAGTCAATTCAGTAGGTAAATATTTAAGTTTTTTGGCCTTTTTTTTTTTTTTTTTTTAAAAAACCCTTGCCAGAGGTTTACAATCATCCTATGCCTCATTCCAGAGTTAAGCAAAAAAGGACATTCCCCGCCACCCCCAAGTCTGCTTTGGTCGTGNCGGCGGAGCTCCCGGGAGCCGGGGGCCGCGGCGCGGTCAGGTGCGCGCGGCGTGCTCGCCGGCGGCCTCGGCTGCCCCTGCGCTTGGCCGCCCGCCGGCTTCCCATGGGGTGACATCCGCCCCGCCCCTCGGCCCCTCCCCGCGGCGGGCGATTCCTGGACGCGGGGCGGCGGGGTGGGGGCAGGGAGCCGGGACGGAAAGAAACCCCAGCCTCTGGGGAAGGCAGGGGGCCGGGCGGCTCCCCCTGCAGCGCGCGGGCTCCCGCGAGCGGCCAGGCGGGGGAGGAGGAAGAGGGCTGGGCTGGAGCGAACAAGGGGATATTCCTCTCCCAGCTTGAGTCAGACGCGGGCGGATCCGTCCTCCCCCGTCCCCTCCCAGGAGACGGGAACTTACTTCATTTCCCTGGGGCAGGTTCGCCCACGTTACCACCCCCCCCCCGCTCCGGCTCCCCTTCCAGCTTCCGCGCCCCCCACCCGGCTGGGCAGGACCCGGGCCGCGCCGCCACCCCCTCTTCGGGGAAAGGCAGCCGCGCCGCAGACACCTGGGGGCCCCTCGCAGCCGCTGGAGCGCTGTCCAACACGTGAGGCTCATGTGATGAAGCCGGGGGAGGGCGGGCAGGTCGCTCCTTCCCTCCCCGGCAGCGGCCAGACGTGCCTGGAGTCACAGGGTAGAACACGTAGCTCCAACCCACCCACTCGCTCGCATTTAACCCAGCCCGCAGCCTCTCCATTACTCCACGGCTCCCCCGCCCCGACCGCCCCCCCGCGCTTCCCTCCCGCCTCCCCGCCCGCCCCACTTCTCATTCACTTGGCTCTCACGGCGCAGACGGCACAGGGAGCACACACCGCCAGGCTGTGCGCAGAGTCGGAGCCAGAGGCCGCGGGGACACCATGCACGCCCCCAACTGAAGCAGCAGCAGCATTTCGAAGCCGCAGCCCCCGGCAGCCAGCGGATTTCAGGGAGCTCAGACTCAGAGATCGCCTCGCGGAGACAGCTCCGAGGCCCCCTCCAGGACAGTCCTCACCGACGCTCACCGACGCTCTCCTGCAGACAGGAGCGCGTTGTGGCCCCGGCTCGCCGTGCCATGGAGCGGATCCCCAGCGCGCAGCCGCCCCCCGCCTGCCTGCCCAAGGCGCCAGGACTGGAACCCGGAGACCTACCAGGGTAAGTGGGCACCCCTGGCCCCTCAAGCCTCAACTCCAGCCCTGCGTCCTGCTCAGCTCTCGACTTGGAGCAGCTGCGGGCGCATCCGGGGGGGTTCCTGCCCGCCGGGGTTCCCACAAACTCACGGCCCTTCCTGGCCCCTTTCCCTGCAGGATGGATTTCGCCCACATGTACCAAGTGTACAAGTCGAGGCGAGGAATAAAGCGGAGCGATGACAGCAAGGTAAGAGCCGCGCGCCCCTGGGGACCCCAGCCCCTAGCATGCGCTGAGTTTCTAAGAAAAGTTTTCTCGCTCTGAGGCTGGAGGGGTATGCACGGCGCGGGCTTGGGGCGTTTACCGAGTGGCTTGGAGAAAAGGGGGCAAGGGGACGTGCTGGGTGGGACTCTGCTGCGCTGCCCCAACTCTTCTCTCGCGGCGGGGTGGGGAGAAAAGGGGCTTCAAACCCCCTTCTTTTGGTGCCCACCGCCTGCCCGTGCGCCTTGCAGGAGACCTACAAACTGCCGCACCGGCTCATCGAGAAAAAGAGACGTGACCGGATTAACGAGTGCATCGCCCAGCTGAAGGATCTCCTACCCGAACATCTCAAACTTACAGTAAGTGAGAGGCTGGCCGCTCTCCAAGCTGGCTCCTCTGCCCAGAGGGCGGGCGGGGGTCACTCGCCGCCTGCAGGCCCCTTAGGGAACTGCAGAGCAGAGGGCTGGATCCGAGCCGGGGTGGCTCTGCTTGGGGGTACCCTTCCCCAGTCCTGGGGTTTTCTGGCAGCCTCATGCAGATGAGATGAGAAGCGCTTGGACTTTAAGTTGCCTCCACCACCAGCTGACCTTCCTTTCCCAGAGTTTTAGATTTTCCCGTCTGGTGATTTTCAGGGTCCTCGAGTTTTCCTGACTTGAGCAAACCAAGCCAGACACAGATTTTATTTATCCCTTTTTCTCCTTTTTTTAAAATAAGAGGACTTGTTTTGGTGTGTGATTTTTTTTTTTTACATCTTGCCCTTTCTTGGCAGTAGCCTACACCTTACTAGCTTGGCAACCTTTGGTTGGGGAAAGGGCGGGGGGGGAAGTATTTGAGGAAGGGAAAAAAAGCCTGGATGAGCTGGGAGTTGTGAAAGGGTGTCAGGAAAGAAAGGAGGGAAAGTCTCTTGGCTGTAAGACAGTAGAAGTCCCTCCTCGGCTGACACCACTGCAGAGAAATGTTAACTTGATTCCCTGAGTTAAGGTCAGCAGCCACTGCTGGAGAAATTTATCTATCAAAGCTTTTTTCCTCAGGTAGCGGCTGCTTCCAAAATGCCTCCAAATATAGGTGGCATTCGAGTTTTTATTTTTTTAATCAGATATATATATATATATATATATATATATATATATATATATATATATATAAAATATATATATATAAAGTTAAATTTAGCCAGCTAGGAAAGGCTAGTT